CTGATAAGTGGCAGTGTAGATATAGTATCGTACGTATCATTTTGAAATTCGTTATTTGTTAGGGGTGTGCGCATTTTTTTCCATATATAAATAGATTTTGTTCATTCGTTATGCCGAATTTCCAATATGTATTAAAATGATAAAAATTTGAGGGCATTTAATAAATGTCATGTGGAAATCAATTTATTGACTTTTTTTAACGTAATGACACGAATATTTTTTAATGCCCAACTTTGTCATTACAATTTATGTCATTTAATGTCTAGTGGCAATCCAGCATTATATGGAAAAAAACTGAACACTCAACAAAAAAATTCTAAAAAATCAATGTTAATTTTTAGTGCTTTGAAACTTTGACTTATTGTCTGGCTACAAAAATGCTTACTCGAAAATTATTTCTAAAAATTTGAATAAAAAGGCTTTTAAAAAAATGTTCAGTGTTGACTCATTTCTGGCATTGAATTTTGTATTAAAAGGCTTATAGTATAAATTTATCCGTGTGCTGATTTACCAAAAGAATTTGCTAAAGGGGGAAAACTTTGACCCCCGTTGCACATAGGGGTATTTAGACGATTTATGCGGCCAAAATTATTTTTATGAATATTTCAACTCAAAAAGTTTATAAAAGACGTGTTTTGATATTTAGAATTGTAAATGTTTAAAATCAAGTAAATATAGGTTAAAACATTAACAGAGTTGCCACCTGTTAAAAAATTTCGTTCAATTAGTGAAATGAATTGCTGCAATCTGGGTTATCAATGGAAATGGGTTTGAAAAGGCTTTATCTCTACGGAACCTCCGAGGCTTTAAAAAATCTACGCGAAAATTTGGGCGAACAAAATTTTGACAATCAGTTACTCATCATTGGCAAATCAGAAGCAACATAAAAATTTTTACTGCGCAATTTCTGCAACATTTTAGAAAAGTTTCAGGTGAGCATCAGCAACATGTCATCAGGAAAGCAACAAGTCTGCAATATTGCGGTAATTATTACGTAGCTCGAACGCACTCAATGTAATAAAATTACATTTTTGTAATAGTCTACTAGTCTTATTTATTGTTAAGAGAATTTTGTAAGTATTAACTTGGAGTAAATTAGCGTCCTCAATTACTGAAATATCGGAGTTTTCGTATTTTCAACGCATAGCTTTTCCATACCAAGGTTATAAAGTCCACCGAGTTTGGTACAAATTGATAAATCGGTTACCGAGATACACACTTGTGGTGCGCGGCGCCACGCCCATTATCCAAAAAATTATAATTTTATTTAATGCTAAGAGGTTATTCCAAGAATCGATTTTGAGTTAATTAGCTTCAGTAGTTATTGATCTATCGCAGTTTTCGCGTTTCTGTAAATTACCGTTATATGGGAAGTGGGCGTGGTTATCGCCCGATTTCAAGAATTTTTAGCAGTTATGTTAGATATAGCCCAAGCAAGGCTCATACCGAGTTTGGAACGGATTAGTGAAGCGGATACTGAGATACAGCATTTCATCATAAGTGGGCGGGGCCACACCCATTTTCTAAAATTTTAATAATAATCCTATTTTGTCCAAAATTTTACTTTACATACTAATGTTTAACAATTCGGATGCAATATTACTGAAATATCGTAGATTTATCAAAATTGACATTTATCTAAATTTAAACGCTTGTGTACCTAAAACTATTTCTTTAATCATCACTTATATAACACCAATGTAAAGGAAAACAAATGTTTATTCCGAAATATATATCATAGTTGGGTTCGCCTTATATTCCCGCAGATTTCTAGCAACAGGACCGAAAGGTCCTAGAAAACATGACTTTTGCTAATATCTCGAAAACTATTTATTTTTTTAAATTAAATGGATTCATATTCTAGTACAGCGGCCTCAAATTCATCTAAAAAGTTTAATTTTAGTGTTAAAGTAGATCTAAAGTAGTGTTACTATATACTAGTTGCGTTTTTAGATTTTTCCTTAAAACATTTTCTAATTCAAGAAATACTACTTATCTGCCATTTTCTGCGGGCAGTCTTTTCTCACTATATTAGCCAAATTTCTAAGCTTTCAATTGAACAAAGAATAATAACGCGATCTCTCCCGGGGATACAACAAATTCCTTAATATTCACAAAAATTAACAAAAAAATACTTGTTGAAAACCGCTATATTCGTTACATTTGAATTGAACTTTTGCTTAGTAAAACGATTAAAAAAAATTTACCCTTAAATGCATTGTTACCTTCTGTATGTGGATCCATCACTACTTTTTAAGAATACAATGCAGTAATCAAAATATTAACTCAAAACCGTCACGATCTTTCTAGAGAGCGAAATTTTTTTTTAAAGCAGCGTTAGAATATTCTGCTTCCGGTCAACGGTGAGCGTTCGCTGTGCTAGTTAGAAAAGGGAGGGGGACTGGGAAATGTTATTTGGAATGTTCTCTATCGAAAGCGATTAATTTTTTAAGTTTTCTCAAAAATTTTGTCAACTTGGTTTTTGGCCGCCTAAATCGTTCAAATACCCCTATGTGCGTTGCTAAAATAAAACTCAAAACGCCGATATGTTGTCAGAAACATATTTTGGGAAAAATTTGACTCTTTTGTATTGATGTGTTATTTATCATATAAAGGTGCAAATGATATCTAATCTTTAATAGGTTCTCTTATAAACAACCTTTAATCAATAATCATTGTTAACAGGTCTGATTGGTGAAATAAAACTTACTCTGAGGATGATGCCGTTTTGCTAAATTGTCAACGTCCACTTCAGACCACGTCGGTAAAGCAAATGTCTTAATAATGTCCCATAAAGGTGATTCCTTTTGCCAGGTTAAAGATTCCAGGCAAGACTCTTCAATGTAATTTAAATGCTTAATCAGTGGTCGCGACAATACACCATCGTGGCTCCTTACAACTATTTCAATAATTTTGTGAAAATGGAAGGCTGTTATGCTGAAGCATTTTAAAATCCAGGGGAATTTCATTTGAGATTGATATGCGTTAATAACAATTTCCACACAGCAGGCGATGAGCGTCGTTATAAAAGTATCAGTAGTCAATAAAATTTTGAGATCTATATTAGGCTTTGTTCTTGTTTCTACTCGTAGAATTTTATCCAATAAATAAAAAAACAAGGATTCTGCCATTTGAAAGCGACTACCGACCTCGGTATTATTCACCGCAGTTTTAAAATCATTTTGCATTTGAGTAAGTTTTTCATAAATCTTGTTTAACGTCTCCGTTCCAGCTTGCCTATACAACACAGAAATGAAAAAACATACCATTCAGTATTCTTCAAGATAACAAATTTTTTCTTAAATAAAATAAGTTAGAAAAATTTATGTTTATTTTAAAGAAACATAGTAATAACGCAAGCAGTGCACTAAAAGCTAAAAATGTAATTCATAGGTACTAGGTATCAATCATCCCACCACTCTCCTCATCAATGTAGGGTACTTATTGGCCAGAAGAAAATGAAATTGTGGACACGCCGAATTTCTATTACCTACAGTCAACCGCTCATATAATTGTAAATGCTTTGGATGTATCTTCTCAATAAACAACTTATGCGAAATGTGTGTAAAAATGCCCTACTAGCATCATGCAGCATCCGTTACCACAACGATTTTATTTTAACCTGAATAGACCGAGAATAGTTACGATTTTTATTTTCTTAAAACCACCTAAATCTTAACCTCCCATATCAAACTATCGATTGTGAAAATGGGTACTTTTTAGGAGAGCAAAAAAAAGCAGTTGTAAAAAATGTTGCTGTCATTAGGAAAAAAAGTGAAATTCGACACTTTGTTAAAGCAAGTATCTCTAGACTAGAAATTCAACCATTTGCTAACTTACGTATTATTCTAAACGAATGCGCAAGGTATCGAAGGTGAAAAAAGCATTTTGACACATTCGATAGTTTGACATGGTAGCGACAATATATGTAGCGAATATCGCTCATACATACAACTTGTATCCTGCTCCTAGTTGATACAGGAAGTACTGTTACCCATATGGGTGCACCAGGCATCACCCATATTTTTTTAAAGTAAAAACTAATATAGTTTCCCCCATTCCACCATTTATTTCCCCTATAATCAACGCGGTACAGATTCACGTTTTGATCTAAGCGATCCACTCCACACACGTATTTGTTGTATTCCGCTACAAATGCAATATTTTTTACTTTCCTCCTTTGAATAGGCCAGTATCACTCTCAAGAAAAAAAATTTCATTATTTCGTGTGTGTGTCCTAGGAATTTTGATAACTGATACTTCAGAGCCTGTGACAGCCTATTGCCTCGCTCTTTCCTTAAGAAATAATGTAACGGGCATATATTTCTGTGGCAAACATCGGTTGCCTTGAGCTCTTTTTTCACAAAAAAACTTCAGAAAACCGCAGTAGAAGGCGTAGCAAATTTCTTCAGAACTGCGTACTGTCTTAAGGAAATTTGACTCAAGAAAATTTCTGAGCCATTTCTTATACGTCATTTTATATAGAGTTTTTGCTTTTCGTGAGAGCTGCATACTGGCTTAATAACGGAGGATAGGGAATTAGCACCAAAAGCACTAGATGCAATGCTAACCACCAAATTGTCCAACTTCTCTGGCAGATAAGGTGTCGGTCATATCTATAGCGCGCCGTGTCAAAGTGATATTGTTTTCCACTTACGTATGTTTATTTATTTATTTTTAAGAATTTTCAATTAAAATCCAGTTCATTATCTAACAAAACCCATATAAAATCTGTAACAAAACGCCCATCCCTATTTCCGTTTATTATAATCGCTGTAAGATCATCGCTATTTGCAACCTTCCCTTTTTTCTATTCGCTGCGCACTCGAATTTAAAATTCAGTAGTGTCGTGAACGTAGAAGAAGAAGGGCGCAAACTGCGGTGAGTATTTTTTTAGCTTGCATTCTAATGTTATTTAATTTTTCCACATATGTTAAATTTCCACACATTTTTCTTTAGAAATCAATAGTTGTTACCAGGCCATCCGGCACTATTATATTTCATCGCCTTTCATTCCACGACGCTACAGCTTTATTTCGCAGTTTGACTACTGTGGTGGCCTCCTGGGTAGTTCTTCCTCCAAACCACTGCATATTCAAGTTGTACTCCTTTCCATTTATACCCAGCTCTTTCAAAAGACTTCTGTCCATCATCGTGATAGACGAGCCACAGAAGTGGCCACCCAAACAGACAGCTGCTTGCAGAGGAGCCCTCGCCTAGGCACGTCACGAGGCATCTATATGAACTGACGGACGAAGTCCAGAGGTTCATCAAGCAACCTCTGGACCCGTCAGCTTACCGACTGGCCCTGAACGGCATTCACAGGGAGTCAGTCTCGAGTTATGTAGACTCTAGACCTGTGAATGCCGTTCTAGGCATACCGCCACCGGACATAGACGAGACGAAGCTTCATCTGCCTCGGGAGACACGAACGACAATAGCCCAACTCCGCTCTGGCTACTGCAGCAGGTTAAACTCCTACCTGAGTAGATTGAATGAGGATGTGCCAAATGAGTGTCCGGCATGCGGAGAGACCCCAAATGACTCGAAACATCTCTTCGCATGCCCGGAAAACCCGACAACCCTAACGGCTTTGTCCTTGTGGACCAACCCAATAGAAGCTGCACGCTTCCTAGGGCTGCCGTTAGTGTAACTTGACGACAACGACTGAGATATCAACCGATCTGGGCGGGGTTGTTGTAGCCGCTACAACAACAACAACAACAAACCTTCATCCAACATCGCAAATGTATCCACTTGTTTACGCGGCCTATATAACGTTACTGGCAAGACGCGGAACAAGAGCCCCTGTCGATTGGCTACATCGGAGGAACAGCTCAACATTGACTCCATTACGTTAGTGGTACCAACCATCTGCTTTCCGCTTTGTGGTGCAGGCATAGCGCTGGTGGCCTTATTAGGCTCATGCAGACGTCTGTTGTGCTTACGTTGACAACCATCGATCATGCACAGCGTGCGACTACGGCAATCACGCGACGAATGGCCGCTTCTCAAGCACGAGAAACACAGACGGTTTTGCTTTATGTGAGCCCATCGATCAGTCACGCAGGAATCCAAAAATTTTCGGCATACATAGATTTTGTGCTGTCCCTTACATATTGGGCACTTACCAGAGAGTTGGGATTTCTTTGGTCCATTTTCCGTGGCGTGCAGTACTACTCGCCGACGACTATCACTTTGTTGCAATGTACAAACCAAATTTGGCAAGTCGCTGAGCCAGTTGCTGAAGTCGACAACAGTTGGGTACGGCTTAATCGCGGCGGCATGTCTTGCCCAATCCATTCGTTTGCTAATATGAAGCTTGCTAATCAGCTCCTCTAGTAACGTTGGGTTTGACAGGTGCTGTACTCCATTCACCGACTGCAAGAAAACAGATAGATTTTTTGTTTTTGTTGCAAAGGGTATAAGTTTTTCAATGGCGGACTCGGAAATCGGATTAATTTCTTTAACTAGTTGAAGCTTTCTGCGTATCAACGACTCCGGTCGACCAAATCGAAACTGTAGCTGCTCCATAACACTGGCTACGTTATCCGGATGGATTAGCAACGATTTAACCACTTCTCTGGCTTCAGTTTTCAAATATTTCAACAGGCGTTGATTATTTTCAAGGTTAGTGTAACCATAGGCGGCAGTTGACTGGATGAGTGCGTTGGAAAACAATGGCCAGTCTTCCGCATGTCCGCTAAATTCGGGCAAATCTTGAATTTTACGCGGCGTCTGGTAATTTCCACCGGTTATTAACGATTGCGGAGTGTGAATACCATTATGAGGGAATCTGCATTTGTTATTGTAGGGCGTCGGTAAGGCAGTGCACTAAAAACAACGTTTGGCTGGTGCACGTCGTCGAAGGCGTTGATTGTGGGCGATATCGTTTTCATTTGCGATCCGAATATGCCGAGGCGACAGTGGTGCCGCGGTGTAGTTGAGAGTGTCTACCGGGGTGCAGATGGTGAGATAAGAAGGGCGGATGTCGGAACAAGCACAGGGGTGCTTCGTCGTCCAACATCAAAGCTGGCCGTTTTGAACGTAGACTCTAGTGAAGACTAGCGTTTCACGGGGGTGGGGGTGTAACAAAACGCCCATCCCTATTTCCGGTTATTATAATCGCTGTAAGCTCATCGCTTTTTCCAACCTTCCCTTTTGTCTATTCGCTGCGCTCTCGAATTTAAAATTCAGTAGTGTCGTGAACGTAGAAGAAGAAGGGCGCAAACTACGGTGAGTATTTTTTAGCTGGCATTCTAATGTTATTTAATTTACCCACATATGTGGCACGTAAAGTTAAAAGGGACCTACGGTCTGAAAACATCCGTTTTCACTTTTCATCGACTCTTATAGTAAACGGGCCGCTCTTTCCGATGCAATAAACCGCAGTTCTAACGGCATTAGTTTTTTCACAATTTCACTTCAAAGTTAGGTACTTTCACAAAAAAAAAACAAAAAAATTAAGTCTGACAAACTATTCTGAAATTAATCAAATTCGCTTGAAACTCGTTACTCGTTGTTTTCGGGGTCGCTGATTACGAATCCGATGTTAGTTTTTAAAAATTCAAAATGGCGGATGGCTTTTATTTTTAAATTGATCGGATTCGCTTGAAACTTCCTTACTTCCTTCCTTTGAAGCTACTGCATTGAGAAAACTGCTTGGTATAAAACTGTAGCTATAATAAGATTTGGTAAGAACAACTTTAATACACATCATTAATACATATATATACTAATTTACATACATATCCAGAAATTCATCTGATTCGTAATCATCGACCCCAAGATACCCTTTAAGTATGAATTTATATGTGAATCCAAATTTTTTTTTTAAGTTCGGCCACCATATTGGATCCTCCATTTTGAATTTTGGAAAACGAACATCGGATTCGTAATCAGTGACCTCGTTTTCGGTGTCAACGACATTTTTGAGTTTCACATGAATCCGAACAAATTTTAAATTTTTTCCGCCATATTGGATCCACCATTTTGAATTTTTAAACGAACATCGGATCCGCCATTTTGAATTTTGGAAAACTAATATCGGATTCGTAATCAGCGACCCCGAAAACCACCGAGTAACGAGTTTCAATCCATTAAAGCTTTCAGAAGCATCAAAATCAACTTGGTAAACTTCAAAGTCGTTTTTCTCGAAATCTTTTTTCTGAGCGTAGGTCCCTTTTAACTTTACGTGTCACATATATTAAATTTCCAAACATTTTTCTTTAGAAATAAATAGTTGTTACCAGGCCATCCGGCACTATTATATTTCATCGCCTTTCATTCCACGACGCTACAAAATCAACCTTAAAACTTTGTAGAAAACTAAAAAAATCTACATATTTTCACCCAAAATTCAAACTTTTTTATCAGAAGTGTTAGAAATTTTTTCAGTACCCAGTTTTATATACATACAGGCGGTCGCTGTGGTGTAGTTATTAGCAGTGGGCGCTACACTCCGCAGGGACTGGGTTCAAGCCCTGGTCAAAGCAACATCGCAACAAAAATAATCGCCCCGCGGGAGGCAACGGCAAACCTCCGAGTGTATTTCTGCCATAAAAAACAGCTTATCATAAAAATACAATCGTCGCTCATAGTCGGCGTAAAATTGTAAGTCCCTCCCCTTTGTGTATCAGCATCAAAGTGGGCGCCACAAATCAGAGGATAAGCTACTAACACATTATGTAAGCGCCAATCTATTATCCATACTAATTGCACGGTGCAACAAAAAAGTAATGAAATACACCCGCAACAAAACTTAGTGTAGGTTGTAGCTATGGTCGGGTAAAACATGAAAATAGTTCCTGAACCATCAATTTTTTTTATTTTAAAACAACCGTAATGTTCGTACTTGATGCAGTTATCTACTAAAAGCGTTATTATTTTTAATCCGATTTTAAAAATCGAACATGTTTGGAAAGAGGATTTGTAGACCTTAGAAATTATGTATAGCAATATAAATATTGCTAGATTTAAAAGTTTTCATAGGTTAAATTTACCTACCTTTCCTAATTTTTTCAACTTTGAACATCGCTGATTTTAAAAATTTGTATGAAGGTTGCCAAACATGTAGTATTTATCTACAAGAACATTTTTTTTCGAATAAATTGGTACCCCAACTAATGCGATTACATAAAAATTGTTGAAGTTAAGCAATCTAAGCAAAATCACGGTCTTGAATTTATATGTGTGTATGTACCGGATTTCAGATTTTTTGAGAAGTGTGGCTAAGGAGTTCATCAATATTTATTAAAAATTTATATATGCTACAATAGATCTTTAGCACAAAATTGATTTTTCATAAAATTTTAGGAAAATCGGCGTGGCACCGCGCACTTGTATCAAATATGTGTATTCTAATAACTACTTCACTGATCTCGACGAAATTAGATATACACAGATGCTTAGCCTCTTTAAACACCGTCTTGAAAGTTTGTGAAACGCTCTCCACCCATATAACGGTGATTTAAAGAAACTCAAAGCTAACTATAGTTTAGGGGGATTCGGTCTTATCCGATTTCAAAAATATTCAAGACGGTGCTTAAGGAGAGCAAGCACAATGTGTATACAAAATTTGGTCGAGTTCGGTTTTCCTAAAATTGTAAGAAAAAATAAATATTTTGCTTAAGAGCCATTGTATATATGGCCCAAATCGCCGAAAACGAAATCAAGGGTAAACAATTTTTTTCTCAGGCTTCGCAGATTTTTGATTATATTTGGGTCATACATATTGTAAGGTACCGGAAAAGATAAATATGAACACGAATCTCCTTCTCCCAAACATTAAAATTCACTTAATCCTGAGACACCTTTTAATTAATGAAAATTGAAAAATTACAACATGAAACTAAAGGGTAGTTTATATTTAAGGACCACCACTTTTTTGTATTGTACTTGCTTCTCTTCTCTTTGCTTGCCTTGTATTACCTTGATGTTACTAATAAAAGTATTCGACAAAAAAATCAGTGATTAGCTGTTTATATGAAAACGAAGTCGGCAGTATTTTCTTATGTAATGTAACGGTCCAAAGTATCAAGTGGTTTGGCGCGGAATCCAACAGGCTAAAAAATCGGAAAATCTAGTTTTCTTCGAGCGTTTCAGCCTTCTTTCACTATAAAATAAAATAGTTCCATATACTTTTCATTATCCATGTGTTTCCGGTGGAAAACTATTCGTAACGTATCAGTCTTTTTACAGTCTTGAATTTTGAGGAAGGCTTTCTTTTATTTAGAGAGAGTTAGAGAGAGGGCTCATTTTGCAATCAACAGTGTAAGCTATTCAACGTGTTATTGTCCCATAATTAAAATGTATGTTCTTTATACTTATATAAGCTCAGGAAATAAGAATTACGTAGAAAAATAAAAAAATGCGATTGAATATTTATTTTCCAGTGGTGGCCTTTCGCCACCGTTTAAAAGGAAATAAACATTGGTTCAAATTTATTCACAAGCTTTTTAATGTTGTATATGGACTCACAAAGTTTCAAACTTTGCCAAAGTTTCAAATTCCAGGTGTAATATGTTTGTATACATTAGGGTGCCCATCGAAAATACTTTTTTTTTTGGAAATTGCAGACCCTCCCCCTAATTTTATTCGCTTTTATGAGTAATATTATTGCGTATTTTTATAGATTTTTTGAAGGTCATTTACAGGTCGCGACCTGTCAATTTAGGTCAGAAAATAGGATTTTGTAGATTTATGAGTGTTTGAATGACTATTTTTGATTCGATTTCAAAGATATGATCTGAGAAGAGAATATATAGGCCTTTAAAATAGTATATAATAATCTATTCTCGGACTGAGTTTGTTTTGATTTTTTATCGGATAAACTAAAAAATACCCATATTTCTCTTAATTTTTTAAATTTTGACCACCGATAATTTCTACAATTTCTAAATAGGGAGTACTATCTAATAGACAAGAGCCAGCGACGGCCAGAAATTCGTTATTTTATAAAGGCTGAAAGCTTCTCTATGTATGCCCCCAACACAGGCAATAACAAACCCAGACTATGAAATTTGGATAGTGGTGGCTTTGGCAGGTACCAGGTAGTAAAGGTGTATAAAATACCACCTCAAATTCGTGATAGTATAAAGGTCAGTTTTTATATATTTTACTCGTAATAACATTAGAAACCACGTCGTTCATTGCCAGACACTTAGCATGGTTCCTACCCCCTGCCAGACACCCATAAAACATGCAAATTTTAAGTTATACTTTCGTCATAGTATAAAAGCTGATTTTTATATATGTCACTTGGGGAACTATCAAAATATGTTTCCTCACTTGCCAGACCGTTTCGATAGTTCCTTTATCTTGCCAGACGCTTTAAAGGCGTAGGTGCGAGCATGAAAAAACTGATAAAAATTATACTTTGTTAGTTACTTATCGCAGACGGCGCACACTGGTGCCGCTTCATAAAGGGCGATGCTCAAAACTCATTTTTCGAAAGTTGGTATTTAAGATAAAAAATATACACCAGAAGAGTCATAACAAAGTAGCAAATCTTGCGTATAAACATTGGGTTCCGAGCTACTACCAGTTGCCGCGTACAACAGCTCAAAGTTAACTTTTCAGTCAGAAAATTTTTTTCCCGATATCGAAAGCGAGTTCACATGTGTTATTAAAGCTGTCTTATTATGCTTAAGGTTACTATTAGTTTAGAAGGAACTATGTCGTTGAATAAGCAATGTGTGTTGATTGTTTTACAACTTTACATCATTACATAAATTCAATGGTTTGTGAGATATAAGGAAAAAATTTTAATAAACAATTTTTTTTTTAAGATTTGCTACTTTGTTATGACTCTTCTGGTGTATATTTTTTATCTTAAATACCAACT